TGGGAAGGAGCTGCAGTAGGGCTCCAGGGTGTGTCCAGCTTGTCTCGCTCAGTCCCAATTGGCCGGACCCCAGCAGCAAGTTAACCTACTGGTCAGAGTGTCTGCCCCTGGTGGTCAGTGCACATCATAAAAACTGGTCAACCGATCAACTGTCTGGCCCCTGGTGGTCAGTGCACATCACAGCGAGCGGTTGAGAGGTCTTAGAATATCATTAGCTATCATGCTCTGATTGGTAGAACGAATGAGCAGACGACTGGACACTTAGCATATTAGGCTTTTATTATATAGGAAGCTATAAGTACTTATCTATTTATCTATATACCTATACCTATACCTATACCTATACCTATACCTATATCTATATCTATATCTAAAAGCCTAAGCATTAGACTGAACGACTGGCCAGTAGCTACAAAGCACACTGACCTAGACCTTGCTGCTGGGGCGCTGACAGCCCCGAATCTGGTTCACCAGCACCCTAGACTCAGGAGTGAGGAAGGAGCCCAATTCCTTGTGGAATCAGTTGTTGGTTAGTTTGCTGTTGGGGACCTGACAGCCCTGAATCTGGTTCATCCACACCCTGGTCTCAGACAGGAGGGAGGAGGGAGCACGATTCCTTGCACAATCAGCTGTTGGATAGCTTGTTGCTGGGGCCAACCTCCCGTGGTCTCTCCCCCTGGCAGTCCCCCCTCCATCGACCCTGATTGCCCGCCAGGCTGAGGGACCCCACCAGTGCACAAATTCATGCACCGAGCCTCTAGATATTATATAAGCAAGCTCAAAATAACATGTAACTAAAAGAATGATATAAGTTTAGGGACCTATAAATTTAGAGCAAACAAGGTAAGTTTTGACAAAAAGTTAATATGAAATTCATTTCATCAAGTCTAATAGATTTAAGACTCAAATACTGTATTTTAAGACACCAGGTATATGGCCAACTGAACATAGAAAAATATGTGCTGGAATATTGGGAGTCTTAATCCAGTCCCGCCCACTTAGTCAGCCACCTTACTCAAAAGGAGGAAAAGAAAATGAGAAAGTTGCCTGGTTATCTCCATAGAGTTGAGTGAAAGCAGACATTTTAGAAAGGTTGTAGGTCGTGTAAAAAGAAACCCTTTTCAGAATAAATCAGTTTTTCTGTATTCCTAGCTTGCTCAAAACTTTGTCAAGAAGTGCCTGTTGAATTTTATCAAATGTGTTTGTGGTGTATAAAGTCTATCCATGGTGTTTCTCCTTTATTCTATTAATGTAATGAATTACAATGACTGATTTTTGAATGTTAAAACAATCTTATATGTTTGGAAAAATATAAATTAAGTCAAAATATATTATTCTTCCTATGAATTGCACTTAATTTAATAACATGTTATCTAGGATGTTTCACTTATGTCTGAGAGTGATAATGTCTGTAATTTTCTGTTCCTGTCTTATACTTGTCAGGTTTTAGTATCAAGATTCTGTTATTCTTACCTAAGTGGTGAAGTGTACCCTTTTTCTCTTATTCTTGAGAGTTTGTGAATAAAATTTGTTTTATGGTTATTTTATTCATCACTTCGAAGTAATCTTCTAGTTTCTTGGTTTCTGTTGAAAATGAAATAACCTGTTTCTGACAATCTCCTAGTTGCTTCTTTGAAGGTAATAATTTTCTTTTTCTCTTTTAAATGTTTTCTCTCTGATTTTGGTTATAAGTTATTCTTTGCTACATCTAGGTGTGGTTATCTTGTAATGTTTTTGTACCTGAGATTCATAATGCTTCCCCCCCCCTCCCCAATAATGCTTCTTGAATCTGTACCTTAATGTCCTTTATCAAGCCAAGAGATTTCTCAGGCATTATCCTTCCAAAGACTGCTTCTGCTATATTCTCCCCCTCCTCTGCTGGGACTCTAATTACCTTTCAGTACATTTTGTAACAGATTGGAGATAGAAGACTGAAACATTTTTAAACCATACTTCATTGACAAGCGGGGTCTATGTCCTCTCTGCATGAATCTGAACAAGTGGTGTGTCAAGCTGAAGGACAGAATATAAAAACATGATGTTGTACACTGGTCCAGGCCCAGACCATCAAAGACTAGAAACTCCCACACTTCTTCTCTCTTGGAATGCTTGCTTTGGGGAAAGGCAACTGCCAAGACTAACTACCATGGACTGCCATTAACAAAGAGAGAATTCCTGGCCAGCCCCAGAAATTCCAGCCATCCCAGTCCTGGTACCAGAAATGAACGTGCAGAAGCCATTGTGGATGCTCTAACCCCAGGAGATAGCAGGTAGAGAAGGACCAAGCCCCCAGACACACTGACCTAGTGGAGTCACCCCAGCCATCTCTAGCCGTTTGAACTAACCCAGCTGAAGATTGAGACATTATGAAGCACAAACCTAACCCAGACTGAATTTTTAACCCTCAGATTCATGATCATAAAAAAAGGTTGTTGTTTTATGCCAGTAAGTTTTGGGGTTATTTGTTACTACTGAGAAAGGTAATCCTCCATAAAGGCCCAGGGTCAGTTCTCTTTCTTATTGGATGTGCCAAGAATGCCAAGCCCTGACCAATCATTATCTGGGCCATTTCTCAGGGCTGTGTTTGCAGCTGGCATCCTTAGACGTAAGTAAGATCTTTTCCTGGGACAAAGAGTATTTTTACTATAAAAGAGGTAAATTCAACCAAGCTCATTATTCCTTAGAGGTGATGCAGACTCACTGTTTGTAAACTATTCACATACCTGCCTGGGTACTGGAGGAACTGACACAATATGATATTCAAGTTGTTGTGTCATGAATAATAGAGTCCTTTGTCTCTGACCCAGAAGTTTTGTGCCTTCTGCCAACATCTATGAAGCAGTACTAGGCAAACTTGTTACCTTATAAGGTAAAGTCCCAGATGCTTCATAATTCTTGACAGGCACAGAGCAATATATAACTGGAACATATTCCATATCTTTTCTTTACTTTCTATGCTTTGCCTCATTGTGTTTCATTCTAAATATTTTCTTCTGACTTATGTTCCAATTCACTAATTACCTTTTCATTTTGGTCTCATTTGCTGTTAAAATCATCTCAAATTAGTTCGTATTTAAGGTATGGTATTTTTCAGTCTTAGAGTTTCCAACTGGTTCTTCTTTTGTAATTTCCAGTTCTCCAATGAAGTTTTCATTTATTTTTATCAATGTAATTACATTTACTTTAAAAAAAAGTTTTTATTGATTTGAAGAGGGGAAGAGAGAGAAATATCAATTAGAGAGAAACATCAATGAGAGAGAAACATCAATTGTCTGCCTCCTGTGTGATCCCCTACGGGGGATCAAGTTGGCAACCAAGGCATGTGGCTTAATGGAGAATCGATCTGGCGACCTCTTGTTCATGGGTCGATGCTTAGTGACCCCATGAACAGTATGTACAATAATTAGTTATTTTAAAGCCCATGTATAATAATCTCATATGGATATTTCTATTGTCTGTTGTTTCCTCTTCACTTTGGTCACACTGTCTTGTCTCCTTATGCCTTTTTAATTTTAAGTCAGTGTTTGATATTGCATATGAAAAATGTTTAGTAAATTGAGACTAAGAGGATTAATATTTACTCCTAGCAAATGACTAGAGGCATTAAAGCCACAGATAATCTTAACCTAATCACTAGAGATGTTTCAAAGCTGGGATTTATTTCTACAGTTTACTTCAGGCTTTCTAACTTAAACACTGAGGTTTTACCAGAACCAATCTACAGTGTTGGTGAGCTTTAAACACCTGTTTTTGTTTTTCCTACCCTTAAATGTCCACCAAAGTCTCTGCTCAGCTTATCCACCTTTCTCAGAATCAAGAGATGCTACTAAGGGGAAAATAGCCTGAAAAAGGAGCTCATCTTTCTGCCTTAATAGCATTCTGATATACTCAAATACATCTTCTATGTTTTACCAATCTTTCCAATATTCTTAACCAGAGAATTAATCCAAATAATTTAACCAACATTACCAAAAGTGGAACTTCTCCAAAAATACGTTTAATGTGTTTAATACTTAAAAGTTTTAGAAGTTTTGTTTTTTTCCATTTTCTCCATTGTGGGCCAGACCCACATACTGTTTGTTTGTTTGTTTATTTATTTATTTATTTATTTATTTAATTTCTTTATTGATTAAGGTATCACATATTTGTCCTCAACCCCCCATTCCAACCCCTCACCCCCTATTGTCCCTGACCACTGGTTAGGCTCATATATAATGTTTATTTTCAAAATGTGCATTCTACCAAACATTTTAAAGGTGATGTGTATTTTCAAATAAACCAAAAAGATATATCTTGTTAATTATGTAATATCTTTAGAAAATGTCATTTGCACAAAAACATCTGGAGTAATGAAGATGAAACATACGGAGTAAAAATTTTTAAAGAAAATATATTTTTAGAAATAGATGCATAAAAATAGAGAACAGACAGATGGTTGCCAGAGGGGAGGGAAGTTAGGAGGCTGGATGAAAAAAGTGAAGGGTTTAAGAAGTACAAATTGATAGACACAAAACAGTCACCAGGGTGTAAAGTACAGCATAGGAGATGTAGTCAATAACCCTGTAATAACTATGTATGGTGCCAGGTGGGTATGGGAAATATTGGGAGATCACTTTGTAAAGTATATGATTAACTAAAATGCTGTACACCTGAAATTAATATAAACAATATTGAATGTTAACTATAATTAACAAATACAATTTAAAAATCAAGGAAAAACATTTTTTTTCAAAGAAAAAATGTACCAAAGTAATTTCACATTTCAATTAAAAAGGAGGAAAAGTAGATCAGCTTTCATACTTCTAATTATCTCTAAACATTTTACTAACATCATCTAGGAATACAGTGTCATTTACTGTGACCCAGTATTTTTAAAACATTCCAAACATAGTAATACAGTTTTCTTTTATATTCTTTCTCCCTTGGAAAATTATATAATTTTATAAAGATCTGAAGTTTGCTCAATGTCTAAGAGAAATATTGTATCTGCCCACACTTACCGTGAAAAATACGAAAATCAATATATGGATGAGAACCTCTTCTTTCTGATTCAAATCCTGCTCGACTCCTTACGCGTACATCTCCTGGATGGGTCAAGGATGAAACACAGCTGAGAAGGCTGTCATCTTGGAAGAAACTCCCATATGCAACAAAGGCTTATGTGGCGTGATAGTCATAAGCAGTGAGTTGCCCACTAGTAATATATATGGATTAAGTAATTAAGAGCTGCCTTATATAAATTTTCAGTACTGAGTTATAAAGCTAAATGGACATGTTTTTTTAAATCTACTTCTACAATAATTATTATAAGAATCTATAGTTTAAAGTTAGCTTTCTGAAAGATGACTCAAGTATATGATAATTCAACCAACTATCTTATTACTCACAAGGAAGTTAAAAAAAAAAAAAAAAAAAAACCAAAAAAAACACACAAAACCCTCAGCACAAAATGTTAAAAAGCCACAGGAAGAAACAAGTATTTATGAACTGTTTACTTGATACCTAGGCACTATACTACAGTTTATAGGGGATATGAAAAAATAGAAAACTCATTACCTATTCTCACTCAGCCTACAATTTTCTGATGTACAGAAAAGTAAAATAATCTGCCTTGTTCAATCTGGTCAATCTCTCTTTTCTCGTTGGCAGTGGTATACCCAAGGCCTTCGGCTGGTGCTCGCATTTTGTTCTTTACAAGATCACACTGTTTCTCTGTGTATCCATGTGATGTTCAGATGCTCTTCTCCCTACAGCACCACTGCAAATCATGGACCAGGCACTTTTTTGTGTGCTTTATAGGCATTATTTTATTTAATTCTCTAGCCAATTCTGACAGGGAGGATCTTTATCCCATTTTATAGATGTGGAAACTGAGATTTTGAGAAGTAGCATGCCCATGAAACAAAGATAGTGTAAAGGGTGAGTGAGGACTTAAACCTCGCTCAGTAGGCTCCACTATATTCCACAGTTCCCAGGTTCATAAACTTTAAATCTCCAGTCCCTATCTGGGTGTTCTTGCAATTCTAGGCAGCTGGAAGGCTTTCCTACTTATCATTCTCCGTTTCTCTAAGTGAGGCCATCATTTCTACATGAGTCTATCCCACAGAGATCAAGTGCTGATTCCTTTACCTTGTGCACCCAACCACACTTCAGGTTCAGGAAATACAGCAGCAAGCAAAATACAAGTCCCTGTCTTCATGGATCTTATCTTTTCATGGAATGAGGCAAATAGTAAAATAAATAGTTTCGTTCTATAGCTGATGGAAGCTGGTAACATGGAGAAAATGAAAGCAAGGTAGAGGAGGAACGACTCATTAGTGTGATCAGAGAAGGCCTCACTGAAAAGGAGGCATCTGAGCAGAGACTTGAAGGAAGTGATTTTGGGAGCCATATTGTATCTGGAGGAAGAGGTTTCCTGGCATAAGAAAGAGCAAGTATAATAAGTAAATACTCTTAGATGGGAGTATACTTGGCATGTTCAAGGTCAAGCAAAGAGGGCAGCATGGCTGGCGTGAGGTAAGTGAAGGGAACTGGTGGGAGGGAGTAGGGCCAGATCATATTGGATCTTCGTGGGACATAATAGCTTTGGCTGTTACTCTGTGATAGAAAACTATTAAAAAATTTCAAATATGTAAGAGTAAGAGTAATTTAACTTATATCTGCATAAACTGACTCTGTGCATACTAGAGTTGCATAGAGTCAATAGCTAAGAAGAACAATAAACACAGCAGTAACTATGGCTTGTAGGAAGGTGACATGGGAAGATGTTGGTCAAGGGGTACAACACATGAGTTATGCAAGATGAGCTCTAATGTACAACAATGTGATTAAAGTTAAAAATCCACTATGGCTGAGCACATATGGTAACAGCATGTGGGGGGAGGGGGCAGAATTCTGGTTATATTTTGCAGGTACCAGCCAAGAAGATTTAGTGATAAAGTAGACATAGAGTACAGAAGAAATAAGAGTCAAGAATGACTCCAGAGAATGGAGTTACATTTTCTGGGATGGCAAGACTGCAAAATGAACAGCCTTGAGTACACAAATCTTTTGTCTAATAGACATTTTAAATGTGAAGTACCCATTATACGACCATGTGGAGAAGTTCAACAGAGTTTTAAAAAATGAGTCTAAAAAGCTCTGTTTCAAGGAGAGCAGAATCCTGAATAGGTTTGGAGAGAGATGGAGACAGTGAAGAGGAAAGGGCTGAACATTCGTGGGAGACAATATGTACCAGAGTAGAATGAAACTGAGGCAGATAAGATACACAAGCTAAATTAAAGAGGGGGGAAATGAAAGAGAGCAAAATCAGGACTCTGGAGAACATTCAGGCTTAAGAGTATGAAAAGGAATTAATGAAAAAGGCAAAACAACAGCAACAAAAAGTAGGCGAAGAATAAGAATTGCTCATATCATAGAATTGAGGGAAGAATTTGAAGCATGAGGAGAATTGTCATGGAAGATGCCTTTAAGAAAAGATGAGCAAACTTTTTACAGTTTGAATTAAAGTACAAGGGAGGTAGAGTGTGGAGGTAAAGAGTGAAATCTGATAGAGAAAGAAAATTATGGACATATATGTGAAAATTCATGTTACTTTGTGGACTTAATCAATACATTAAAAACTTAAGAACTAAGATTAGAAGATACATGGTCCTCTCCTCACCAGCCAACTGAAAACAAAATACACCCAGTGACAGGACTCTGGCCAGGTATTTCATGGCCTCTTCTTTGTCTGTTCTAGCATGGACAACTGTTTAGTACTTAGCAACTCTACAAACCTTAAGATTATTTTTATAAAGAACTAGAGGCCCGATGCACAAAATTCGTGCAAGAGTAGGCCTTCTTTCCCCTGGCTGCTGGCATTGGCTTCCCTCTGGCATCCAGAACCGGGCTTCCCTCGCAGAAGGAGGCCCCACCCACTCGCCACAGCCCACGGGTTGGGTTGTAGCCATGGCTTCATCTGGAAGTCACTAGGAAGGACATCCGGTCTAATTAGCATATTACATTTTTATTAGTATAGATACTCAGGATGCAATTTAAAATTGAGCAAGAGTGACAGAGTCCCAGTTATTATGCCAGATTTCTCAATTACCGGTACCTAAAACTTAAATGACACTTTATTCACATCACATTTAATATTGGTTTTTAGATTCAATTTCAAAGTAATAGATTACTTCTGCTGTTAACAGGGATGAAAAGCTATCTAATTAAATATATCTCAATTTCAAATAATAGCAGGTGATAATAAAATTAATTGATATTGGTACAAAATAAAAAATGCTTACCTAGCATACGAATGTACAACGCAGTCTGGTCCGAGCTGTCATAGGAAATAGCTCCACGCCTCTAAAAAAACAAACGTAAACACATTTTAAATGCCTGACAATTAGATATGACATAAAATTCAATTCAACAAACATGTATTTATTATTTATGAAGCACAATCAAAAGTTGGATATACAAAATGAAATTAGTTACATATGGCATCTGCTCTTGAAATCTAGAGTTATAAAGACAAACAGTCATAACCCAATAAGGTTAAGCACTACCATAAACATGGATTTGGAGGTGCACGCAGTACATGGAATTCAATGTTGGAGTATGTCAGACAAGCCCACTTGGGGAAGACCTTCTGTAGAGGTAAACAGAACTAAAAAGAGAGATGGCTCAACTGCTTTATTATTCCCTTCCTATAAACACGTACGAAGAAGCAGACAAACAAGAATCATCAGACACCTAAAGAAACCCATTAGCTAAAAAGAAATGGAATGAAGTAAAAATCCAAATGGCCCACGGGCTAGCAAGAAATAAAAAAATATCAGGAGTGTACTTCAAGAGATCTGAGAAGACAGTGAATTAATGAAACAAACAAACAAACAAAAAAAAACAACCCACAGGCTGCCATTGAAAGAGCGAATTTGAAAATATATTTTATGTTTAAAATAAACATAAAATATGTTTTGCAACATTATTTATACTAGCCCCAATTTAGAAAAATGGATAAAATGTAGTTTAGCCGTATAAGGGAGTAATATCCAGACAAAAAAAAAAAAAAGGAAGAAAGTACAGATACAGGGTACAACCTTGAAGAATATGATGAGTAAAATGACCCAGTCACAAAGTACCACATAGTATATGACTCCATTTACATGTAATGTCCAACTTAGGCAAATCCAAAGATAGAAAGTAAACTGGTGGTTGTCTAGAGGTAGGCAAGTTGGCAGGAAATGGGGAGTGAATGCTAATGGGTGCAGAATTCTATCTGCATTGATGAAAATGTTGTCAAATTAATTGTAGTCATGATTGCACACATTTGAATATACTCACTGAATTGAACACTTTAGATGGGTGAATTATATGATATGTGAATTACATATCAATGAAGCCATTATATAAAAGCAAATGTTGCAGACTTTAAAATATAATTACTAAAACAAAATAATTAAAAGAGCTGAAACACCCTCAACAAGTTCTGCCCACTCTACCCTCACAGTCATCTCCCTTCCTCTAGCTTCTTCATTCTGTCTCAGGCAAGAGCATTTTTCATCTGGACATCTGCAAGGGGCTGGTTTTCCTGATGCATATCTTGGTCCCTAGTCCACTCTTCCCACAGAACCAAGAGTGAACATTTCAACTTATTGCTCAAAACTCTCCAAATGACTCCCACTGCACTTTAAATAAAGTCCAAACACCAAGCTCTGATTTGCAAAGGCACCCAAGGTCTGCCTACCTCTTTCTATCTCCTCACCACATGACCCAGCCAGCCTGGCCTCCTTGCTCCACCTCAATCTCACCAAACATACGGCCTTTACCTGCCGGGGTCACTGCATCACTGTTCCCTCTCATCTCTCAGGTTCAACAGGAAATGTCATCTCTTCCGAGAGGCATTCCCAGACTACCAATCTAAAGTCCCCTGAGATCACCCTCTTCCATAGCTCCCTGCCTCCGTGCTCTCAACGGCATTAGCAGATGTTACTTTGTTTGCTTGTTCTAAAATAAAAGCTCCACAAGAGCAGGAACTGTACTCCTGGCCCCCAAAACAATAGCTATTATTTAGTAGATTCTAAATAAATATTTGGTAAATAAATTATTAAGTGACTTACTGCAAATAAGTTAATGAATAGCACTGATATAAAGACAGCTTAAAAATTGAGAAGATAAAATTAACGGAATCTAACTCTTGTAGAGGCAGAGATTTCTTCACTGCTGCATCTTCAGATCAAAAATAAATACCAACATTTAGAACACAGTCTATCACATCAAAAATGATCAATAATATTAGTTGAATAAACAGGTAAGCAAATTGTTTTTATTTTACTTTTATTTTTTAAACCTCACTCAAAGATATGTTTATTGATTTTAGAGAGGAAGAAACATTGATGTGAGAGAAAAACATGGATCTGTATATGGCCCCACCAAGGATTGAATTCACAATCTATCTAGGTGTGTGCCCTGACCGGAAATCAAATCCTCAACCTTTTGGAGTATGGGACAACACTCCAAAATTTTAAAAACATTCAAAAAGTAAAGAAAATATGATCACATTAAAGTATTTTTAAATAGGAAAGGTCTTTCTAGCTGTCCAATAAAATCCAAAATTCATGAAAATTGATCATTTTGGGCACTAAAGTTATATTTTATATGGTAAAACATATCATAAACAAAGGCAAAAGACAAACCTCAAACCAAGAAAAATGAGTTCAACAGATATAACAAAAGGCTAATTTCCCTGTACTTCAGTACAGCCTAAAAATGAAAGGGAAAAAAAGATGTCTCACAATTCAATTAGAAAATGATGAATAATGTAGAAAACATGTAGAACATAAGCATATGACTCACAAGGAAAGAAATAATCCAATAAACACAAGAAAAAATGTTCAACTTAATTAACAAAAGAAATTACATATTCAAGCATGAGACTGCATTTTACTTATCAGATTAATGATGTTCTTCCATCACAAAACTCTCAAGGAAAAATAATCTTTTTTATTAGTATTATAAAGAAAACTTATTTAAAGCTCTGGTTTGAATTTAGTATGGGAAACAATTCCCAAATCATTGTTATCTTCTTAGTGCTTATCAATTAAGAGAAAATTATCAATTAATTTCTTACATGACTTTATACATCCTTAAGAAACAACAACAACAACAAAACAGTCCATGAAATGTGAAAGAAACTAATTTTCAACATTGGTTGTCTCCAAGGAGGCAGGGGGACACAGAGGTAGAAGAGGACTTTTCAATGTATAGCTTTTGAATTTTGTAGCATAATTAGTTATATGTTCACTAAATAAATCAAGTTTAAAAGTATAAGAATATAATATCTATCTATTTATCTATCTATCTATTTATCTATCTATCTATCTATCTATCTATCTATCTATACCTGTCTGTCTATCTATCTATCTATATACACACACACACCAAGAAAAGCATATAGAACACACTCATGACAGCATCATGCTTAAAGAGTCTTCCCCCAACACAATATCCTAAGGAAGCCACCTGCACTCTTTCATGGTGAACTACTTATTCTAGAGCAAACAGCCACTTTAATCATACTGATGAAACTACAGATCTCATTAAATAATAACTTGTCATGGTCAACATCCATCAACCTGCTAGTGCCCAATAATAACTTGGATAATAGTTTGCTAAAATAAATTTGAACCTATTTCTAACAGTTCTTCCTTAAAAGTGGTTGGTTTTTTTGTTTGTTTGTTTTTTAAATGTAGGAAGCATATTTACTAAAGCAGCCACTAATTGCAAAGGTAAAAATCTCATTTATCACTTCACATATTAAAGACAAAGACTAATATCAACTCTGTTAAATAAAATTAATAATGAACATAATCTAGATTATAACTGACATACTAAAATTTTTTTAAAGATAATCACTTCAGACTTACTTATGAGGCACTTTAGATATTAAAATGACAGGCTTTGTAGTAATCATAATAAAAACTTGGCAAAAAGGATAGAATTTAATTTTTAATATATATTAACAAGTTAATAGGGATGTGCAAAATATTCAAATTATTCTACTCTTTCCTAATTTAAATAATTCTGGTCTACAAACTTAGTCTAAATGCTATAGTAAACATAACTCTTATAAATCCAAATGAGACAAAAATAATTTTAAGAATGGGCTTTAAATGTATGTATCTGAACATATCTATGATAATTCAATTCATTCATTCACCACCTCAAGATTAAAATGAGTATTAAATTCTTTCATAAACAATTTAGGTAGAATAAAGTAAAGTAACTCATTTCGGAAAAATACACTATCCTATATAATAAAAGTCTAATATGCTAAGTGTCAGGTCGTCTTAGCAACAAATCTAAGCGTAATATGCTAAAGCCGCTCAACTGCTCGCTATGACGTACACTGATCACCAGAGAGCAGATGCTCCGACTAGTAGGTTAACTTGCTGCTGGGGTCCGGCAGATAGGGACTGAACAAGAGGGGCCCTGGAGCCCTCCTATGGTCCCTCCCCGGCTAGCCAACCTCAAGCTTCCCTCCCCAGCCTCAAACATGCACCAATGGGGTCTCTCGGCCTGGCCTGTGCCCTCTCACAATCCAGGACCCCTCAAGGAATGTCACGGCCCAATCTCGCAGCCAGACCGAGGCACCCCACTGAGGCACAAATTCATGCACCGGGCCTCTAGCCAGTTATAAATTATAACAATAAGTTTGACTTCCATATTAGAATCATGGTATTTTATTTATTTTTATTATTATAATTATTTTTAATCCTCACCCATACATTTATTGATTTTTAGAGAGAGGAAGGGAAGTGAGAGAAAGAGAGATACTGAAGCGACAAACATCAATTGGTTGTCTCCTGTATGCACCCTGACTGGGGATCCAACCTGCAGCTTAGGTAGGTGTCCTGACCAGAAATCGAACCCACAACCTTTTGGTGCACAGGATGATGCTCAAATAAAACAAGCCTCCAGGCCAGAGTGGACTCATGGTACTTTAAGAAATCTTTATATGTGCTTTATCCACCAACACTGCAGCACAGACTTAACATATATATTTTTAATGTTACCATTTTAAAAGCCATATAGCAGTAAAACTCTATTTTTAATAAAAATAGTAAAACAAATTTAACCAAATTCCTGTGTCACACTGCCAGTCAGAAAACCCTCAGCTATCATCCACATTCCCACTTCATCTCACCAGTGAATGGAAACAGCACAGAAATTTCTACTCATGACTTTTCTAATTTAGCCATCCTGGGAACAACTTGTAAAGCACAGTATAGGTCAAAACATGGGTGAGGCTGAGCTAAGCAGAAACCGGCAGCCGCAGCGCAAACAAGTTAGTTAAACTGTAA